GCTGCCCCTCCCCTGCTCCCGCGCCTCCCCCCTCCCCGCTCACCCACCTGTGCTCCTGCTTGTTGCAGATACTTGGCCAGTCGGTCAAAAAGGCACACGCTGGCCATGACCAGCCCCACCGCCGAAATCCCGCCCGACTTGCAGAGGCAGCTGGGACAGCAGCCCTTCCGCTCCCGGGCATCACACCTGGCACCCGAACAGCACCGGTGAGTAGCGGCACCGGCAGCTTGGGCAGCTCTCCCTGTGCCAAGAGCACCCAGCCGGGGCAGAAAGCCCACCCTAGCAGAGCGAGGCTTCCGCCACGGGCGCTCAGCCTGGATGCCTCCGGTGGCATTCCCGCATTTTGCCCGGCCTGCAAAACCCCACCCGCTGCTTCCCCGCACCCACCCACCCGCTCCCACCCACCCGTCCTGGGCCGTGGGGAGCAGAGGGTGGGTTGCTTCCTCCTCCTCCTCCTGTGCTGGAAGAGTCTGCTTCCTCCTCCTCCGCCTCCTGTGCTGGAAGAGTCTGGTGCCTGTGGCAGGGACCTGTTGGCCGCTTGGCCCCCTCACCCAGTTGGCTACGCTGGGAGAGCCATTCTTCAGCTCCCGCGGGCCTTGTCTGGGGGTGGGTGGGTCAGAGTTCGAAAAGAGCTGAAAGCAGGCCGGGGGGGGGGGGTTGCTCGAGTCAGCTTTGGCCACAGTTGCAGGAGGGTCCCTTTGGACAGGCTTCCTGCGAGTGCCGAAGGACAGCCAGCCAGAAACTTGGCATCCCTTGTTGGTTAAGAGGAGGGTGACTCTGCCTCACAACAGCCCCACCCCATCCCCATCCCCATCTGACCCGTGTGTATGTAAACAGCCCTGTGACGGACTCTGTCCCAGAACTTGGTGTTTTTCTTCCTCCAGAATTTCCTGGAAAAAGCCCCCCTCCCCCCCCCCCCCGCCCAGGGGGGGCAGGTGCTGTGCCAAAGGAACGAGTTCTGACCTTTGACTGTTGTGAATCCGGGACCCGGAGAGCCTCCGCTGCGGCCCCTCCCACGCACTCCTGGCCGCGGCCTCATGGGCGACTGCTGGCAGGTCCCTGCTGAGCTGGGCCAGGATGACACAGCCGGAGCCGTTGGACTCTGAGCCGGCGGTGGCTGGGCCGGTGCCACGCTGGAACCTGAGCAGACCGGAGAGGAGGCGCTTAGTCCCCAGGTCTGGCTCCTGGTTCAGCCGTGGGCTCCAGAGGCAGCCTGGGGGGGCTGAGAGCCCCACCGGCCTCCTTCATTCACAGGCTGAGCTGTCAACCAGGGCACAGGCTGGGCGCTCGCTGTGCTTCCCGAATGCACAGGGGGAAACTGCCATCTGTCCCCGTCCCCCCCACCCCCCCAGTGCAGGGCTTCGCATTACAGGGATGGGGGTGGGAGCAGCTTCGCTCTCAGGTGGCGGGTGGCAAGAGAAAGGGGGCTTCCTGGGCGGGGCCCGTGTGCCAGGCGGAAGGCCACTCGAGGGTGTGGAGCGGCTCGGCCAGCCAGGAGCCATGTGGCTTTCAGAGGCCCCCGGGGACTTTTTATGTATGTATGTATGTATGGAGCTGCGGTGGCTCAAGTGGTTAAGACGCTGAACTGCAGGCTTTGGAAGGTCGGTAGTTCAGCAGTTCGAGACCCGGGTGCCGCAAGACGGAGTGAGCTCCCGTCTCTAGTTCCAGCTCCTGCCAACCTAGCAGTTCGAAAGCAAGAAATTGCAAGTAGATCAATAGCGACCACTTCGGTGGGAAGGTAACAGCGTTCCGTGCGCCTCGGCGTTTAGTCAT